GCAGCAGAAGCAGTAGCAGCAGGAGCGATACCATCCCTAAACCCTAAGCCCGCCTAGAACCTAAGCCCTCCCAAGGCCTGAAGCTTAAATCCTAAACTACCCAAAGGCCCCCTAAGTAGTTCCTTTTTGGGATCAGCTTATAGGATTCTAAATATACACCGTAAAAAGGAACTACTTGGGGGCCTATGGGTAACCCCTCATAATGCCCGTCGGTGAGGCAGTTCAGCGTCAAGGACTCCAAGGGCAAGACCCTCTTGGACGGCAGCGATGAGTACCTTTCTCAGCGGTTTTTTTGAAGCCCGAAAGCCCTTAACCCCATATCCGCAACCCGCAACCTCTAAACCCTAAACCCCAAGCCCGCAACTAAAACCCAAACCCCAAAGCCTAAACCCTCAATTTTCAACCTCTAAACCCTAAACCCCAGAGCCTAAACCCTCAATTTTCAACCTCTAACCTCTAAGCCCTAAACCCCAAAGCCTAAACCCTAAACCCGCAGCCTCTAAACCATGCGGCTGGATCCCTACCTGCTCATCCTGGAAGGGTGGCCGTCGTACTGTAACAGGACTCTTCGCTTCTTGTGCTCCTTCCATGTCTGATTCCTAAACCCTAAACCCTAAACCGTAAATTCTAAACCCTAATTCCTAAACCCTAAACCATAAACCCTAACTGTCTGATGCTTCCAGTTTCTTTGGAGTTGAGCCCTTTGCGGTTCAGGTTCTCCCTAAAGCCTAGCGCTGAAGCCCAAAGAATTCTAAAACCTCACCCCACGGCCTGATTTTTTTTTCTTCGAGGGCTCTTTGCAGCTTGCAGTCGGGGTCAGTTCGTCAAGTGCCTTCCAGATGCCATTCAAAGGCAATTGCCAGAGAGTGGACAACCCGAAGCGCCAAATCCACAGAACATGATTGCATGTCAATGCACTCACGTGAGATGTTTTTCGGGGGGTGTTCATGTTGATGGCACGGATGCTACTGCTATTCGTCCCTGTGCCACGATGACTCCATCGGCAATGCATTGCTAGAGCTCGAACTAGTACTATAATCATGCTCAGGAATTGTCTTCTTGTTGCGTTGCCGTTCTTACAACTTTAGAGCATCACGGATGTCGGGTGTGGTGGCTACGCAAAGAGGAACTTTTCAGAAGCAAGGTGCTTTGGGAGTAATCTAGGACATTTTCAGGTGG